GCGCCGGCATCCACAGCCACTCGGTCTTGGAAGGGTTGAGTCTGAGTCTGTTCCTCCCCATCCAGACCCTTACGGCCTCCAGGCAACGGGCCATCACGTCAAGGGCATCGTTGGGGTGGCCTGGGGTGGAAATGTACAGCTGCGTGTCATCAGCGTACTGATGGAAATCCACCCCAAAGCCACGGATGATCTCCCCCAGATGATCTCCTTTATTATTGATAATGATATAAAATAATGATTTTAACAATGATTTTAAAGTATTGATTCTCATTTGAGACTTAAATGCCTCCTATAAGAGCAACATAATAAATCATTGAAGAAAAAGAAAAGAATACAGAACAAGAAAAATCTACAATAATATCTTTATCATGCTTTTTTCCATTACTGATTAGAAAAATGATAATCCAGATGCAGAACTTACACTTGGCTTGCTGAAGTTCTCCAATTCACTTTCTGATAACTCCAGCTAAAAAGACCTTCTGTTTGAAACTCCTAAGTAGACTACTGGAGTTAGTATGGAAGCAACATTGAAAGGCATTTCCAATGAGCCAGAAATATTGGCAACTGACCATGCAGATATCTTCCAAAGACCTTAATAATAGATTTTATAATGAAAGGATGTTCTATCTATTTGTGCAACAGTTGATGTTTCATTCATTTCAATATATCTGACCTCCAGCCAAAAGAATACCTATGAATATATAGTGTTAACCATCCATAGCCTCTTGATATTCCACAGATTAGCCAGAACATGGACAGTATCACCATAGATGAAAAATTTTAAGGGCATTGAACCATACAAACCCATCTAGTTTCTGGATCAAGCCATTTTACCAAGTCCTTTGGTCCTGCCGATATTTTTTACCAGCCATCAGCTTTCATGAATAAATCACTCTCAGTGATTTATCCATGAAAAATAAAGTATATAATTTAAAATCATCAACTTCCTTGAAATATATTATCAAATCCATATTAGTTGGGATAGGTCCTTGGTCATCAGGTGGAATTTAATATCCTGTGCTGCTCCTTCTGTGGTATTAGGGCTCAACATATACTAATAGCATTTCTAAATGTCCCAGCAGCAGTATGCACTACGAATGTTAACATCTGATGGAGCATCTGATTGGTAAGATTCCTATTTTAGGAACTAAACCTCTTTGCCATCCAGTCCTAGCCTCCTGATACATGGACTAGCTCAGTGAAGAGAGCTGCAGCAGATAAACTGCCCTGTCTTCTACCATACAAGACTACATAATATAAATCGAGGTTAGCACTTTCCTCCAGGATTAATTCCTAAATAATCCTAAATAATTGATGTATTATCATCAACTGACCTAACATT